ACAAGGGTAGACGCTGACCTCCAAAAAAAAAAAAAAAGTAATGTTCTATTGGAATACAAGTTTTTATTTTCAAAATTCGAATAGAAAGGTTATACGTTGTATTCGAATATAACTCGTACGCGCTCTATTCGAAGTGCTCTTGTATTCGAGAATAGTGGGCCCACGCCCTTTCGATTTCGAAATGTTCAAAACTCAATGACCACGGCCTCCAATTGATGGACCGCGTCCTCCTCGGGCTCCTATGGGTAGCTACCGGTCCTTCACATGCCTCGCCCTTTGCTAAGCCCTCACCTCAAAATTGCCCACCCTCCTGAACGACCACCAACGTTGAAAGTTGGATTGAAGTTGAAGGTCTCAAGGGCATAAAAATGCAACCGTGACGGGCTGCGAACAGGCCGCAGATGGAGCTCGCCCTCTTCAACGGGCATAGCTGGCAGTAGGATGTCCAAGCCACGGGACCGAGGAGCTCGTTCATCGCTATCTGCCTCCCTTGAGTCCCTACCGGTTGTTGATATCTAAACATCCGAGCGCAGATCCTTGAGTCCCTACGGATTGTTGATATCTAAACATCCCAGCGCAGATGGAGTGACCCCATGCTTAGAGCACCCTCCCATTCTTCTCCGTGGGGCCAAAGTCCCCCGTCCCATTCTTGTCCGTGGGGCCGAAGTCCCCCGTCCCATTCTTCTCCGTGGGGCCGAAGTCCCCCGATTACGGCCTACCGCTAGAACCTACTGTGGGGTGGATTTTATTGTCAGCGGGATTTGTACGAAGCGAAACGGCCGAAACAGCAGTGCCATTTGGCCGGGGCCGCAGCTCTGAACGTGTAGTAGAACCTGGTGTTGTGTGAAGGAGACATACGATGGTGGCAAGGTCACTGCATTTGTCGATCCCCGCCGTAGATTACCAAGATTCAGGGCGTACTCCACAAAGGAGTATTTGGAATGAGCTCTCGACTGGTCCTAATTGTGGTCTGATACGTCCAGGAAGGGGCGTAATTAAAGCCGGATGCATCGTGCCCGAGTAAGTGGTACCTCGTCCTAAGTGGACGTCCTATAGCCAGAGCCGGCTCATGTCACCGACGCCGTGCTATGCTGGATTGATGGGCTTTTCTCATGCTGCCCCAGACACGCGGCGGCGGTGATTTCTCCAGCGGGAGAATCTGCACGCGGTCTCAGTCAAGAAAGCAAAGGGAAAGGATATGTGGCGCGGTTGGTTTTGAAAACTTGGTTGCGTAGCCCACCTGTTTTTCTCATCCGTCTTTGTGCAATTGTTCGTTCGTTCGCTTCGGCTCGCCGCTGGACCACGGCGCAGCAGGCGGCGTCACTGGAGAAAAGCATCGCGGTTGACGATCTGCGCAGCGATGGTGTTTCAGTCGAATCTGTGCGAATCATAATTGGTACCTCTGTCCGACTACGGAAGAAAGGGAAGCACCGAAGGCGGTGCTCAAACAAGAGGCGCGAACTGTTGGTTGGCAGTGCACGCGTGGCGGCTTTGGGTACAGGTAATCCGCGCGCTTGGGAACCACTTAGTGTCCGACAGTGGGAAAAGGCCAAGACTGCGGAAGATGGATATGATGGTGGTGACGCTTTCCACGTCTGCATTCCGTGCCTGCTCATTTGTCCATGGGTGTAGATGTGGCACTGCGTGGTTGATTTACTGATTGCGGCGCGAAATGAAGTCAAAACCTGATGTACAACGACTCTACGAGTAGACGGCGGGAGGGCAGGAAGACGAGAAGCAAGCATCCCCAGTTCCCTTTTTGCCGCTGCGGACGACAGCGATTGCGAGGTAGCTTAGGGGCACCCCGACGTGCGCTGGGCGGGCACGTCTTTTCTTTCCTTCTTTAGTCGCCAACGACCAAGATTCCCCAAACTAACGGGCTTATAACATTCACCTCCAGTGTAACGGAAACAGAGCGTAGAGGAGTCGGGAGGGCGACTGTCGGGAGGGCGACTGGGAGGGGAGCTTATTCCAGCTTTACGAACAATCTAATGGCGAACGGCGGCGTGGTGTACAACATCTTGTTCGTTCATTGCACGAGGCCTCATCTTACGATGGGCAATTTGGTTTAATTTGTGTGTTGGTCTTACACCCTCTCTTCCCCAATTCCCACACATAGACCCGCAAACTGACACACTGAAAGACTCACACACACACACACAAAGAGAGAGAGAGAGAGAGAGAGAGAGAGAGAGAGAGAGAGAGAGAGAGAGAGAGAGAGAGAGAGAGAGAGAGAGAGAGAGAGAGAGAAGATGGATTTTGGCCCGGTTGCCTCGACGGAGGCTTTCTTGTCAAGCCTTGAAGCAGAGGGAATGGAGGGCATGGCGAGTGCGGGTCGTGTGGCGAATGAGCAGCACGTCTCAACGGTACAGGGGTACGAACAGCAGAGTGGGGAAGGTGGGTTGTACGGTCACGGAGTCGGGCAACAACAAGGATATGATCATCAGGGAGGAGGGCAGAGTTATGGCCACTCTGACGGACGTGCTTTTGAGCAGCAAAGTCTCCACCATGATTATGGTCAAGGCAACCAGTTTGAGCCAGGCGGAATTAGTGGGGGTGGTAGCGGGCATGAGCAGCAGGTGGGTGAGACAGGGGGCTTGGCGAGGTTCGAACAAGGGGGCGCTCTCGCTCATGGGGCTACGGCGCACGAGTACGGGCACCCTGGCCATCAGGGGAGCAGCATAGTTCAAGGCCTCATGGAACAACGGACGACTACGGGGTACGAGCAAGCGCCGGCATCAACGGCGCAGGACTTCGATCAAAACAGTGCTCAAGCAGTGTACGACGTGGCGAGAGAGGTACATGTAGCGCCGCGATTCGATCCGTCGGCCATCCACGTCGCCGGGTACGATCAAGTGAATGGAGGGGAGAGCAAACCGGCGGGTCAGGGTTTCGACGGGACGACGGCATTGGAGCAGAAAGGGTCTTATGTCGAGCAAGGCAGCGGGGGTATAAGGGGCGCTCGGGGCTTCGAGCATATGGTTGCGGAGCAAGGATTAGGGGGCGGGTTCCAACCTGGGGGTGGTGAAGTTATAGCACATATGGTTGCGGATCAAGGACAGGGCGGCGGGTTTCAACCTGGGGGTGGTGAAGTTATAGCACATAGGGGTTTCGAGCAAAGCAGTGTTGTACATCGTTATGATGGAGCGGACGCCACTGCTGCTGATGGGTACGTGGGACAACAAACCGCGGGTCTGGTGGTCGCGTCGAGTTTCGAACAGACCTCCACGATTTTGTATGAGCAACGGGTGTCGGGGACTCTTCAGGATTTCGACAAGTGTGCTGTCCAGGGGTACTCTCAGAGTGGATTGGAGTTGTCCACAGCCCAGAAGCTGCAGCCAGCCACGACGAGTTCGATTCACAGTTACGACCAAAAAGGGGCCTCTGCTGCGGGTGTGATTAGGGATTTCGACCTGATGACGACATCACAAGGAGTTGAAGGGAGGGGCATTATGCCGGGGTACGAACAAGGCACTCCCACGACTGCACCGCTCAGTGTGTCTGCTGAGCAAGGCGGGATTATTGTCCCACCAAGACCGGGGGGATTCGATCAACGAGCGTCCGGGATGCAGCAGGGATATGAGCTGTCGCAGGGCACAGCGGCGGCGCAGGGGCAGGGGTTGAGTTTCGAGCAGCAGCTCAGCTACCCGCCAGACGGAACGGGGGCTGGCGGTAGCACGATAGTTGTCAACAATGTGAGCGTGGAGCGGTTTGCTCAGCAACGCGTTGAAGGTTCGGAAGCCTATGAGGGTAGGGAGGGGGGAGGCGCAGGTGCAAAGGTGTTCGAGCAGAGGGCTGCAGCCTCTGCCCAAGAGCGCGAGCAGCTGAACGGATTGTCGGCCGGCCTGGCTATAGAGCGCGAGAAGCAGGGTGTTGCCCAGGGATATCCGCAAGTTTGTGCGGGAATGACGGCGGAACCGTTGGGAGCGTTTGGTCAGCAAGGGGGTCAGCAGCAGGTATTCGATCCGGCCGAGCAGGTGGCGATGGTGGCCCCAGCAGCAGCAGCCGCAGCAGGGGGGGGGTTCGAGCAGGGAGCAGGGGTGAGCGGAAGAGAGTACGACCGCGGGCAAGGATTTGTAACTCAGGTTTTTGAACGGACACCCGCGGAGGGGTTGTGCCAAGGGGCAATGCTGGAGCAACAGCAGGATGTTGTCCAACAGGGCCAACTGCAGCACGTGGAAGGGGAGAACCAGCAACAGAGTTGTGAGAAAAGAGGAGGTGTGCAGGAATTCGGGCAGCAGGGAGGCGCAGTGGGCGAGGGACAGGTTCAAGCAGCTGCTGCGGCACAGAATTACACGAATATGGACGTGAAAATGGAACATGAGGACACGAAAAATGGCGAGGGTTGGGGGCGACGGAGCAACAACAGTAGGTTTGAGGCCGAGCCGCAGTATGGAGATGGAAAGTATGGGGAGGGGGAGGGGGAGAGTGGGCAGGATAAGCAGGGCAAAGAGGAGGAAAGGAACGAGGAAGAAATAGGTCCATCTCCTCCCAGTGACTGGCAAATGGGTGCTGCCGACCATAACGGTCCGCATCCTCCGCTGCCGCCAGAGGGAAGCAACGACTCAGAGAATGAAGGTCAGCAACACGAGTTGCTGCGACAGCAAGACGAACACGAATGGTGGCGTTATCACCAACAACGGGATCAGCGGGGTCAAGATCAGGAGGGAGAGGAGGGTCATGCCGAGGCGGGTGTGTTGTTCGGCAGAACCACGAGTGCTCATTCAGACCAAAGGGGCATGGAGGATGGAAACAACGGTGCCGCGAGGTCGGAGCCGGAGTCCTCTGGCGGCGGGAATCAGTCATCAACAGGGGGCGGCGCGGCCCAGTCTACGGGCGGTGGTGGCGTGGGAGAGGGAGTGTCGGGAGGTGGCGGAGGAAGTATGGGGGAGACAACCAGCGGGAAGAAGAGGCGCAGTCGCTGGGGACCACAGTCGGAGGAAAGCAACGAGCGAAATGGCGGGAGCGGTGGGGCGGGGGGTGGAGGAGAGGGACAAGACAATGGAGAAGGAACGGGAGGGAAAAAGCGGAAGAGTCGGTGGGCAGAAGACCCTAGCAAGTCGGCGGTCGTCTCCGTTGCGCCGTTAATAGGTCAGGTGCAGCTGCCTAATTTCGTGAAGGAGCTAATGGGAGGAATGGACATGAATCCAGAGACGCAAGCGCTCAATCTGAGGCTTCATGACATCAACAGGAAGCTGCAAACCGGGCAGGTATTGGAGGACAAGCCGCCAGAGCAACGGTCGCCTTCGCCGGAACCGATATACGACAACATGGGTATAAGGATCAACACGAGAGAGTACCGGGCGAGGGAGAAGATGATGAAGGAAAGGCAAGACGTGATTGCGGAGTTGATAAAGAAGAACCCGAATTTCAAACCGCCAGCAGATTACAAGCCGGGGAAGAAATCGAAGAAGCTGTTTATTCCGTTGAAAGAATATCCGGGGTACAATTTCATCGGGCTGATCATCGGTCCACGTGGCAACACTCAGAAGCGAATGGAGAAAGAGACGGGCGCGAAGATTGCCATTCGCGGGAAGGGCTCTGTGAAGGAAGGAAGGTCGCAACAGGGGAGGAGGGATCAGAAGCCCGACCCAGCGGAGAACGAGGACTTGCATGTGTTGATTCAGGCGGACACGGAGGACCAGCTGGAGCGAGCGGCGGCAATGATCGAGAAACTTCTTGTGCCCGTCGAAGAGGGGAAAAACGAGCACAAACGCACGCAGCTGCGCGAGCTGGCCTTGCTGAATGGAACTCTGCGTGATGATGAGTACTGTCGATTATGTGGGGAGCCCGGTCATCGGCAATACACGTGTCCGTCCCGGCATACGACGTTCAAGGCGGATTTGACTTGCAGGATTTGCGGGGATGGCGGGCATCCGACGATCGACTGCCCAATGAAGGGGACGGCACAAGCGAACAAGATGGACGCGGAATACAAGTCTTTCCTAGCGGAGCTTGGGGGCGGCAACCCCGGGGATGGCGGAGATGGTGGGGAAGGCAGCGGAGGCGGGGAAGTGGGGGGAATGCGCAGACAGGTGACTCCCCCTGCTCTCATGGGACCTTCGCAGGGCATGATGATGAACGACCTGCATGACGGCGGTTTAGGCGGGGGAGGCCCCGCACCCTGGAATGGAAACGGCGGAGCGATGGGCGGGCATGTCGGAGGGGAAGGAGGGAGAGGAGGCGGGGATAGAGGCGAAAGAGGCGGACTAGACAGGGGTGGTGACAGAGGCGGAGGCGGCGGGGGCGGCGGGGGCGGCGGACAAATGCACATGCCGTTTGGAGGGCCGCAAGGTTCAGGAGGAGGATCTCATCAACACGGAGGTCTGGGCGCCACTTCGAGAAGTAAGGAGGCCGACGACTCCAACCTCTACGTTGGGTATCTGCCGAGCATGGTGGACGACGAGGGCTTGCTGCTGCTCTTCTCCCAGTTCGGTAGAGTTGAGGACGCCAAGGTGATTAGAGACCGGAACACGGGGCAGAGTAAGGGGTACGGATTTGTGAAGTACTCTGATGCAGCATCGGCAACGCAGGCAGTGGCGGCAATGAATGGATTCCGTGTAGACGGGAAGTTCTTGGCTGTCAGAGTGGCGGGAAGACCGCCTCCTGGATCAGGAGGAGGAGGTGGGGGAATGGGAGGAGGTGGGGGAATGGGAGGAGG